GAATATTGGGTTGATAGTTGAATACGAAAAATTATATGGCTGTGTATTGACATGCGAGAATTCACATATTTAAAACGTTTCAGTTATTTTCCTTTACAGATGAGAAACGAAATGGAACTAAGAATGAGGACGCATTGACATGTCTCTCTAGATGTGATAAAGGAACTCAAATGAGCCCTCCTGAAACTGAGAATGATGCAGCAAAATCCTCACCCACTTGGACCATGAATCGTCAAAATAGCCATGCTGCGAAGTTAGAGGTGAGAGATGTAGAGGTAGACAGTGAGGCTACTATTATTAGGTGGTCTAAGAGCCATGTACCTAGGCTGAGCTTGCTACCTGGTAAACACTCAAGGAAAAGGAGTAGTACGGAAGCCCAACCTTCAGGTTTGGATATTGCAGAGTCAACGTTGGACTCTACCAAGTATGTTCTTTAGATGCTCAGCTGATTTTAGTCCTCATATATTTGAGTTCTTGGGTTAGGAGTTATCCCAGACATAAAATAAATTTGGAATATTTACTGAATGAATCCAAAATTTCTACTGCCATGCATGCTTCTCGTTGTCTAGTATCATTATTATCAAGATATTTGAACCTCTCCAACATTCATTCAGCGATAAAAACAGATTTGATGTCATTGTTTTTGTTTCTGGAGCAGGTTTCAGAGGGAGGAATCCAAAATCATTGCATGGGAGAGTTTGCAAAAAGCCAAGGCTGAAGCTGCAGTACGAAAACTAGAGGTTTTTTTTTCATCACAGCTTGTATATATATTGAACTTTCTCATATGATGTGTGTCCCTATGCCAAGTCAAATTCGTAAGCAAGATAAATTCAACAAGGCTCCATCCCTAAACCGTAAAATCGTTGTCGTGTCGTGTCATGCTGCATGATAAAACTAAACATTATATGCAGAGTGTATGTATACAATGACTATATCAGGGACACCTCGAGTTTTTCTTTCCCTAATGATGGAAGTATTTTACACAGATGAAATTGGAAAAGAAGAAATCGACGTCGATGGAAAAGATTCTAAACAAGCTGAGAAGGGCTCAGGTGAAGGCTGAAAAGATGAGAAACCAAACAAGTGTAGAAGAGGATCAGCAGCAGGTTTCCAAGACTCGGAAAGTATTTTCATTCCAAAAATATGTCCAGATATGGTCTCCAAGGAGTTGCTTCGGCACTCATGCTCCATGATTAATATTTAGTACAATATACAAATTATTAAGGTTTTGCCCCGATAACCACAGAAAATTAACATTCAAGTCAGGTCATTTTCATTTGCCTTTTCTTTTTTGTACTTCCCAATAACGTCAAATAATGAATGACTACTGCATTCTTACTGCCTTTTGACATTTTAGGCATTATGTACCAAATCTAATGGGTTCATTTCTGGATGTTACCTTTACCTTTATTTGTCTTCTATATTCTATTTTAGGGGGAAAAAAATCTTTGGCACCATTTGACACTGATGTAAAGATAAAATAATCATAAAAAAAATTGTATTTATAAAAAAAAAGTGAAGAATCATGTCAATAAGTATAAAAAAAATTTACAATCAAAAAACTATTGCCCATCCTTTTTACATCTATGTTAAGCTAAGAGCATGCTTGGAGGCACAACTAGTCACTAGCATTAATCCATGCAACTGGTGATTCGGTATTAAACACGACTAATAACCACCAGCAAAATTGCATTTTATATAATGTTCAAAATAATTAAGCGCAAAAGCTCGTATTGTTTGTAGCTTCGCTTGATACGATCCGAGCATGCTGATATTATTGATTTCAGACGGAACCCTTTTTCGTTACGTACATATAATATAACAGGCTTGCCCACCAAAAGATGACGGAAAAGCGTAGCCAGGTTCGTTCGCAAATATAATATGGGCATATAACTTAATAATTTATTATGGACCATACATCAGCATCCTGTCTGACAATAGACGAGGAACAAAATACATAGTAAGAAATGTAGCATTGTTCTAGAATATAACATTTCCATCATCTTCGCTTAGTACAAATCGATACAAGATAATATGTTCAAAGAAAGTATTTTCTGGCTTACGATGGATTAAAAAATCCAATCCATAGTTCTTACAACTTTATAAATCATGATTAAATAACAGTACCACAGTTCGCTGTCACAAATAAGCAGTGTCCCTACTAGTATGGTCTATACCTCCAATCTGCTCTTGATGGTCTCCCAATTCCATAACCCCACTGCAAAAGAAAATTTATAATCAAAAGCAGAAACATGAAACTAGATTATACTTCAATGTTTCTTGACATATTGCCCAAATTTTGATGTATGTATATATATGTATGTATGCATACTGCTTATAAAATTATTAGATGTAAATACTCACATCGTCAAAGTCTAAGCTACCATACATCCTCCCATAAGATCGCACAGGACCGCCATATCCCCCAAAAGATTCCATCATGAAATTCCCACTGGGCCCTGCATCATCAACGGGTGTAGCCGAATCTATTGCAACCTACAGGTGAAAACCACTAATCAGTGAAACAGAATTTAAACCAAAAAATATTATCAAATTTTATTCACATCATGATGACATGTCATAAGGAATTCACACTGGAATTATATTTGTCTACTGTGCATATATGTTGTTTAATGCCATTACAGGAGACAGTCACGTTATGTCACAGAGATCTCGTTAAGAAACAACAGAACAAATCCACTAATTACATGTTCTCTCCTGATTTGAATGGACTATGTAGTTAAGGTACTAAAATTTAAATGGGCATTTTAAAGCAGTGGAGTTAATCTCCACCCCGTACCTACACAGATTCCCTCCCACCACATCCATTCATCTAAATTTAAATCACAGAAAAATGAGCAAACAGAAACTTATAGCAGATGAAAGTCGGTAGTAATGCAAGCCAGTAGCGAATTTAAATTAAAGTACCTGATGTCCACAAATCTCATGAGACCTTCGTGAGACACGATCTGCTACACCATCTTCAGCAAAAGTAACAAATCCAAAACCTCTGTGGCCTGTTCTCTTAGGATCCTACCCAAAAATAGACAATCAAGTTAGCAAAGCTTTGTCAAACTCGTAGAAGCATTTTTTTTAATATCTTACCCTTGCAACATAAACATCTAACATCCGGCCAAGTATATGCCTTTAATATCTTACCCTTGGAACATAAACATCTAATATACGGCCAAATCTTCCAAAATATTGACGAAGATCCTCAGAAGATGCTTCTGGGGGTAGACGGCCAACAAAAATCTTTTTACTAGTTCTACGAGCAGGTTCTCCCCCTATTTGATAAAATATGGCAGTGAGTCACTAGTTAGTATGAAGCCACTTAAGTCATTTAATTGAACACCGGTGCTTGCACTTACGTCCATAAATTGGGCCAGGATGATCATACAAAGTAGGAGTACCAAGTGCTGCATATCTAGTGGCTGCAGAAATGTAAGCATTGTATGCACCATATCCTCCCTGTGGTGGCATTCTGCTGCCAATTGGCTTAAAGTCTTCATCCTGTACAAAGAAATATATAATCTTATTTAACTAAAAGGATAAGGAAATTTTAAATTTTAAATATCCTTTTAATCATAAAACAGTACACTTGGGTAGCAAATGAAATTCACTTAATATTTAATTAATTTGAATAAAAATGTCTTGGTTATTACTCTGCAATTTCCCGAAACTATTCTAAGTAAAATGACAGGCTATAAAAAATAAAAACTCTTGCCTTAGGTGTTGCTCGATCAACCACCACCGCAGAACCTCCCAGTTCATGGGTTTCTGACATCAAATTCTCCACAGAATCTGTACAAGAAAACATGTTCCTTAAAGTGATCGGGACATCCCATCCACAATATTTCAAAAGTCCAAAAACCAAAATAGTAAACAAATAGTGCAGGTATGTAAAAATTCCAAGTGATACCCAAGATCCCAGATGGCTTTAGATTAAATATGCAGAAACTTAAAATTAGAGCACACAGGCTGATATAGATGTCAACCTGCACTTGCAAAAGTGATGAAACCAATTCCACGATGTGTTTTGGAGCCTTGATCCTGTAGGAATAAATGGCAAATTATCCATAATTAAGAAAAATGTACAGCGCACAAAAGTCTGCAATTTATGTGCACAGCCATAATGTGAATTCAACAGCGAGCATACATACAAAAAAGAATTAAATATGCATACAAGCTGCATTTAAATTCTGCATGGATAACAATCAAATAGGAGTAACGTACCTTAGGCATGTACAGATCTGTTATATCACCATACTTCTCAAAATGACTGAAAGAAAAAGAAAAGAAATATAAGAAAGGTTGTGATACTATTGTATAAATTCAAGTCAAACAAGAATATATTACTAAAGAAAAAAAGTCCTTAGTGGATTATCATAATGAAGATGCTACAAACTCAAACCTTCGGAAAGCAGCTTCTGTTACCGATTGTGGGATCCTGGCTACAAATATTCTAGTAACCTTTTTGACTGGTGCCCTCATTTCCTCCTTTAATATAGAAACATTACAAGAATAAGCAATACTATCATAAGATATGGATATTATATTTCGTATAAAATGCAAACCAGGCATGAAGCAGACTAGATTTCAAGTTTCGAATTGAAATTTGGTTATAACCTTCGGTGTAGCCACTTTGACTTCCAGTGTCCTATTACCAAGAATGTGTTCACTTGATAATACTTCCTGCAGCCAGAAGGTTATCCAAACCATGATATAGCATGTAGACATTATATAGGGGTATATCAAATAAGAGAGGCAGAGAGATGAGAGGAGCTAATCTTGACCGTACAACTCTCCCTCTCTGTAAAGGGACTACCTTAGCATCATCCACTGAAGCAAATGTAACATATCCAAAACCACGAGACCGTCCAGTTGACCGCTCCTAAAATAAATAAGGCAGATTAAATGTACCTCCAGAAAATTTAATAGTATATATAGAGGCAATCTAACATCAATCTGTACAAGAAAATTATATTTCACACCACCAGAAGCCATAAAGCATAACCAGCTGAATATTTCTTCTCTTTTTTCTCTGTATTTGTGGCACCAAGGCCAAGTATGTTACTTTTTCTCTACCACAACCTTTTGACATCAAATTTGGTCAATGAAGGGACGTTTTTTATGTATTTACTCTGATAGTACCAGAACACTAAACTAATTTTATTTTTGAAGGATGAACAAAACATATTCAAAAGCAGCATAAGGAATTTATCCCCTCTTCCTTCTTAACTTTTTTTTTTTGAAAAAAAAATGTAAGCACCAACGACTTACAGAGGGGATAAAGTAAAATTACAGCGGATAATTGAAACACACACACATATTGTTTATTAAATTTAAGTATCGATACATTAGACGAGTATAAATAGAACACGAAATAACAACACTACAGAAAAATGGAAAGCAACGGCTAACCTTCATTACAATGCAATCTTCCAGCTCGCCAAATTTGCTCATATATTCCCTTAATCCTTCAGTATCAACATCCCACGGAATTCCCAAAACCTAATATGCGATTTAAAAGGATACGGATCGATAAAAAAAGATCAAATGATGCCATTTTGATTGTTATAATGAACATATAAGCATACGAATAGAGGAACAAATATGAAAATTGAATGAGCACGACTAACCACAAGCTTTCGCTGCTCCATCAAGTACTTCAAAAAATCACAATTAAAGAGACGGAACGCTGCAGAGGGAAATATCCCTGTCCACCACTCTGAGAATAAAAATAAAAACAGAAAAAAAGGGGGGAAATAATCTATCCACCTCCTCCTCCTCCTTTTCTTGGGGTAATGGAATCTCTCAGCAGGGCACTCAGCGCTCTCAACCCTCTCTCTCTCAAATTCTCACACTCGCCGCCTGCACATAACAAGCACACTTCTTTCTCACACACAAATATCGTCGTCATCATCATCATCATCATATACTACCAAATGAAAATCAGCTTTTGGGGGTTGGAGTTCTACTGTAAAGGAAAACAAAGATTTATTACAAATTGAAAAAAAAATCGGTGAATTAGGCGCTCACTGACCTTGGTGAATACGAAATTGAAAACCCTAAATCGAAGATCTCCTCTCTCGCTAGCCCTCCCTATCTCTCCACCTTCCTCTCCCGCTCGTGACGCTTTTTCGCTCCCTCCCTTCTTTCGTTTACCGGGCCATCATAAACATGCCCACTTCGCAATCTCTACCTACGAATTGGGCTGGGCCGAGTCGGACCCGGTTTAACGTGGAACCAACTATGAACCAGACCATTTAAATACATCCTTTCCTTTAAATTATTTATTTTTAAAAATCGGTAATTATATACATTACTATGATAAATTCTGTAGTTTTGTTTACAATAAAATATTCTACTAATAAATTATAATTTAATCTTAAACTTATTTAAATAGTTAAGTAAAATATCATTAAACTATAGAATAAAAAAATAAATTAATTAAAATAAAATATTTTAGATAACATACAATTTGTGACAAAATAAATATCAAATACGAATTTGGCATGCAATGTAATACAAACTTAAAATATGATGAATGTGTTATTGGCATGCAGATCATCTTGTGGGATAATTCTCAAATATGGGAACGAAATTTTTATTTGTGGATTTTCTCAATTTCTTGTTTAGGGTTAAAGATATTCATGGCCTTCATGTTTACTGTATTGTATAACGAGTATAAAATTATTATAATAATTTTCTGGAATTATTTTTAATTAAATAAAAATTATTATATGTAACGAGAATATAAATCCGTAACTGTTGCTCAAAAGTAAGGTAATAATATCATAATTTTTCTCCTAAAAAATAACTACTGTAAACATGAAATCATATACAGAAAAGATATATGTGCTGATTTATCTTGATAAAACAATTTATTTATATATACAATGTCACGTTTTAACATGAATCCATATTTATAATTTAACTTTCAATAAAGGCAAGTCTAAGCAATTGTTTAAGTTTACGCTTAAATGCTTACTTCTACTTCATATTCAGGTTAAAAGATGAATTTTTGTTCAGTATCCAGTTTAAAAAATGAAGACATTGGGTCCCTATATTATGAAAAGTGTATGAATAACGTCATGTCGGTTAAGTTGACAGCAATGGCGTTAAGTCCATGCTGATATGGCCGTATTTTTTCTCTTCTTTCTTCTATTGTCCAGCTTTTTGTCTCTCTTGTTCGATTTTTCTTTCATGATTTGTTGAACTTGTTCCTTCTTTGTGGACCTTATTTATATACTTTTCATAACATAGGGATCCAATCTCTTCATTTTTAAAACCGGATACTAAACAAAAATTCACCTCTTAACATGGAGACGAAGTAAGCATTTAAGCCTATAAATTAACTACTGTTAAATTAAAATTCAAAATTATTTTTTTAACATAATTCAAAATAAACCTAAGCCAAACTATGATTAACTATTGCAATCAAGTCCCGCTTTGAAAAGATTTCCTCCATGCCAAAGTCAAAATATAGAAAGAGAAAGATGATTATGAGAAAGGATATAACATTTCCAAACACTAATATATATATAACCAGTGGCATTTTTGTGTCTTCAAGACGTGGAACAGGCATTTACCAGAAGAAGAAAAAAGGTGAAAGGGAGAACTTGGCATTAGCATAAACCATGCAGCAAATGAAACAGACTTTAAGGCTGGGTAGCTTATTAAGGAAATAGTTGTAGTAAGTGACTTCCATGGACGCATCCATCAATCTGCTTTAAAGTGCTTTTCAATTGATCCGAGGAGAGTGGAATTAATATAATCTTGTGTAGCATGAGCAGGTAAGCCAGGTAGCACCAAACCAAATAATCTGAATCCAAACAGAAACCATCCTTCTCTATAGTGAGCTCCATGTTTTCGGGCAATGGTAAAGCTCCTTATTAGTTCCAAAACAGCATTGAACGCCATTGGTATCACACACCATGGCGAGAAATAGTTCTTGTTCGGCTCTTCTTCCATAATCTGCAATAATCAAACAACTTTTTCATTCTTCGGTTCACCTTGTTCTTCTGATCCATGCATGTTGTCAAAAATCCTTTTGCAATCCAGATTTACTACTTTCTTTTAATAGTATTTTAAGGATATTGTTTTTATTTTTTTAATTTAAAGTCTTACTGCATATCATTATATATTATTAAAATGGAATGGTTTGTTAAATGGATTTCTTTAGTTTCAAATAATCAATTTTCTTTAGTTTATAAGTTCAACTCGAGTCAATTTTTTTTAAAATAATAAATATATAGTTCAAAAAAGGAAAAAGTACTTACTCTGAGTTCATATCGCCTGTTAAAGAAAAGGCAGACCCCAAAGTGCTTGAACAGCAAATCCTTATCATCGTATGGCAACCTCGGAACTATGTCGTTGCAATAAACAAACCTGCAATACCTAATAGAATTCTCCCTCAATTTTTGTCTCATGAAGTCTGCATATGCTCCGTCTCCAACTCTTGGTTGCCCAAACGTGTAGATCCCTTCCAACCTCTCTATCAGCAACTTCTCATCATGTAAGAACATGATCGTAGGGTACAGAATTGCGAGTGCTCCTCCCAAACTGTGACCCGTAATAATGAACTTTGCTTTGGGATTTTCACTCAAACCTTTCCTTAAAATGTCTCTGATAACATAGTAAGCCAATGGGGGAAGATTTTCGTCCCTTTGGATCTCCTTTGGCCACCCCACGTTTTTCTGTAACCCTAAAGCTTTCATAAAGCCGCCGTGCATTTTTCCGACGCCGGGAATCCCATACCACGAGATGTCAAGGTCGGTGCACCATGCATCTGCATCAAAGGGTTCCNAACCTTCGGAAAGCAGCTTCTGTTACCGATTGTGGGATCCTGGCTACAAATATTCTAGTAACCTTTTTGACTGGTGCCCTCATTTCCTCCTTTAATATAGAAACATTACAAGAATAAGCAATACTATCATAAGATATGGATATTATATTTCGTATAAAATGCAAACCAGGCATGAAGCAGACTAGATTTCAAGTTTCGAATTGAAATTTGGTTATAACCTTCGGTGTAGCCACTTTGACTTCCAGTGTCCTATTACCAAGAATGTGTTCACTTGATAATACTTCCTGCAGCCAGAAGGTTATCCAAACCATGATATAGCATGTAGACATTATATAGGGGTATATCAAATAAGAGAGGCAGAGAGATGAGAGGAGCTAATCTTGACCGTACAACTCTCCCTCTCTGTAAAGGGACTACCTTAGCATCATCCACTGAAGCAAATGTAACATATCCAAAACCACGAGACCGTCCAGTTGACCGCTCCTAAAATAAATAAGGCAGATTAAATGTACCTCCAGAAAATTTAATAGTATATATAGAGGCAATCTAACATCAATCTGTACAAGAAAATTATATTTCACACCACCAGAAGCCATAAAGCATAACCAGCTGAATATTTCTTCTCTTTTTTCTCTGTATTTGTGGCACCAAGGCCAAGTATGTTACTTTTTCTCTACCACAACCTTTTGACATCAAATTTGGTCAATGAAGGGACGTTTTTTATGTATTTACTCTGATAGTACCAGAACACTAAACTAATTTTATTTTTGAAGGATGAACAAAACATATTCAAAAGCAGCATAAGGAATTTATCCCCTCTTCCTTCTTAACTTTTTTTTTTTGAAAAAAAAATGTAAGCACCAACGACTTACAGAGGGGATAAAGTAAAATTACAGCGGATAATTGAAACACACACACATATTGTTTATTAAATTTAAGTATCGATACATTAGACGAGTATAAATAGAACACGAAATAACAACACTACAGAAAAATGGAAAGCAACGGCTAACCTTCATTACAATGCAATCTTCCAGCTCGCCAAATTTGCTCATATATTCCCTTAATCCTTCAGTATCAACATCCCACGGNTATATATATATATATATATATATATATATATATATAATTAACGCATAATATATAATTAATTGTTTACTTCATAAATAGCATGAACATGGATCCAGCTAGAATGAATAATCCACTATTTCTAAACCCAAAAATATTAAATCAGTAGCAAAGAAATCACAACTAGCCATGAAGAAGCTAGGAAAAGGACGCTTTTATTTCTCTTTGGGTTTTTCCAGTGTGTCCTTTTTTTATGATTTCAAAATATAATATTATATTTTTAAAATATCATACAAAGATAATACCAAAAACTCAATAAAAAAAACTGGACTCGAAAAGCATAACAAAAATAAATAAAGAAATCTGAAATTGAAAACGACCTTGGAAGACGATATGATTGACGGAGTAAGTGCAGGCACTACGATACTCTTTCTGAGACAAAGAAAAACGATAGATGGATGCAGATTTCTTCAAAAAAATTCCACAGTGGAAAAAAGGAAGAGACTATAGTAGGGGTTTTAGCTTTGCACAAAACAGTGGATGAAGCAAATGGATCTGATCGATGTGGCAATCATTTTTGTTGGGTTAAGAAGCTAAAACACCAGAAAGTGTAAAATTAAAAAAAAATAGCCTCAGATCTATGGATTATACATTCAAACAAATTACCTGTGAGGAAGTTCACGACAATCATGATGAAACCGCCGTTTAGGTAAACGAGGTTGATGAGGAACTCCATGAAAGAGCCGAATAACGAAAGTGGCTTCGCGACGAACAAGAGAAGCTTCTGCAGCACGACGGAGACGAAGATAAGCCATCTGTGGCGGAAGCTTCCCTCGTAATCTCCCTCGGCGTTGCTGTCCACAAATTTTCGGTTTCCTAATTTTCGGGAATACAGCACATGAAGAAGATCGAAGAAACGAGCGTCGTTTGGGTTCAGCAACATATAGCTGTCAGCAAAACCCTTGTTGCAGCTGCCATTGGGTTCGCTCGCCATGGCCAACAACAAGCTCCACAAGTTAACAGAAGAAGAGGAAGGGCCAAATGATAAAGCTCGTGTCCCTTTAATTATTTATAATTATGACTGTGAGAATGATAAAGCTCGTGTATATTTTGCAACTCTTTTTTCTATTCAATTATTAGTTAGTGTGAAATCAAATGGACCGGTAACCCTAAAAATAAAAATACAGTTTGTATGTGCAAAGAAATTAAACTTTTTTTTTAATAATTTGAAAAAATAAACAATAACTTAAAAGATAATTTATTCAATCATTCATATATGATGCCTTTGAACATTCCATCAAACAAAATATTATAAGATTTTTTAATTTTAATGTTCTAAGATTAGATAAACTAATCCTATACTTTTTCTCTAAGTATAATATCCACACAGATAGTACTGTGTAGGTGACAAACATGAAGCACCATAATATTGTTCGCGAATACCTCAAGAAGTGCACAGAGGTGATATTCTTTTTATATCTTTATTATTGCCTTTTATTATGAGACTTTGATTTTGTGTATTTAAAAAAGAAAACTAAAACATTAGTATTTTTCATAAATCAAAATTTAGTTTATACACGAATTAAAAATATGATTTTAAAAAATAATATGTAAATTATATTCTATAAATTGATTTATAAATAAGATAATTTTATTTGTTTCTTTGTTTATTTTAAAACATCTATAAAAAATCCTGTATTATATAACTTTAAATGGTATCAATATGTTTGTGTGTAAATGATCATGGCTTATATCAATAATTTTTTTGTGTAAATGAAGTATGGCTTATAGAAGAGAAATTTATGTATATACTAGCTAAATCGGCTTATAAATCTCTTATCTTTTTTATATATATAGAAAACATCTTATCTTATTGATACTTTTTGTCTCTTTAATTTTAACTTCTTTCACACTTTTTCATAGTTGGGTGGCCAAGTGCCGCCAAATAAATCAATCCTTCCGTGCAGAAGGCAAGTGATTCGTTGCACAAACTGGTTTTTTTAATGACTAGGCATAAAAATATATTATCTTGTGAAAAATGAGCTTTTTTTTTTAATATATTACTTTCGAAATATTTTGATGCGTGTAAATAAGTATCCAATAAAATAATCATTTTTAAAAGAATAGAAGGTAGCTTGTGAGTATTATTTTGTCGATTTCGACAGGAATTTTTTTAATACAAGATACTTTCAAAAATATACATCACCTTGCATAACATCATTTTTTTAAGTTTAATGACTTATTTTGTTTCATTATTTTATTTATTACATTTTTATATCCTACTAATTATTAAAAGTCTAAGCGAGTACACATCTCACATTACAAGTCGATTTTGTGGAGATTGAGTTAGAGTTACAATTTACTTCTTAAATAGTATTAGAGTTTGGTGTACGGGTTATATTGCTCCACTACTGTTGAAGAAATAAAATAAAATGAAAACTTTGAAGAACAACTTTAGTTAACTTTAACAATTTGAGGACATTATGACTATTAATTAATTGTTAAGTACGGTGTTTTTTTTTATTTGAATTTTATAAACTGTGAAGAGTACATGCAATGCAACGGGATCATTGAACTGAAAAAGAAAGGAAACAACCTCATAAATGCCAGAAACTACAGTAGGGTCAGGATAATGGGAACATGGAGAACATACTAATGTGAAGGGAGAAACAAAGAAACTACCAACTGCAACAACTTTCACTCGTGCTTTATTTGAATTAAATAATAAAAGAAGTAAGAAAATGAAAAATAAAATTATTGAGATGAAAATGACTAAAAAGTTAAATATTTTTTTTTATTTTAATAATATTAATTTAATCACTCCTTTCATTATATAAAAATAATAACATAATTCATTATATTAAAATACAATAAAATATTTTGAAAAGATAATCCATTAATTACTATAGGGTTAAATATGTTTTCGATCCCTTAACTTTTAGTGAAAATTGGAATTAGTCCCTCTTCAAAACTTTGGACTAATTTAGTCCCCAAACTATAGAAATGTGTGAATTTAGTCCTTTTAACCAAATTTTGTTAACTTTATTTGATGTTTCAAATGCATTTCTAAGTTAACATTGAAGCAAAAATGTGTCAAATGGTATAAACAACTCAAATGCTATCATGAAACGCACTTGAAACATCAAATAAACCTAACAAAATTTAGTTAAAAGAACTAAATTCACACATTTCTAAAGTTTGGGGACTAAATTAGACCAAAGTTTTGAAGAGGGACTAATTCCAATTTTCACTACAAGTTAAGGGACCAAAAACATATTTAACCC